ATGGTTGCTCTAGGAATTGTGATTTCCATCCTTAATATGGTGTTTTTAACAACTGTTACTTAAAAATTTCTTGATAAATCTTTCCCTGGTGTGTCGATATCGTCGATATCGACGATATCGCTTCGATATCGAATCATGTTTGCTGAGTTCTTGGTAAATACCTTCCCTGTTTTTTTGAATGTGTTGATGCTTAAATACTTTACTTTTACGAAGATTTTATCTGCCATAAATATCGTCGATATCGACGATATCGTATCGATATCGATTCATGATTGTTAAGAGCATATTACTTTACCAATCTTTATCCTAATATAAAAACTTTATTTTTACATCACTTCTGTGTTTAAACAGTTTACTTACTGTCGATATCGTCGATATCGACGATATCGTGTCGATATCGAATCATGATTGTTACAATATTTTCAAGAATTTTCACACTAATCCAATATCTTACTTTTAATCTAATCTAAAACAATAACAACCCTAAAATTTTCTTTATCATATTGATTTATTTTTATATCCAATAAGGAATCAATTTGGACTTCACTTGTGACTTTCCAAAATTATGTTATACCTCAATGTGAAAATAGATTGTGCAAATAGGATCGATATCGATACGATATCGTCATGATATTGTCGATATCGACGACATCGACATAATATAGAGTCTCAAATACAGCACCATGTATTTCAAATTAATAGTGCTGATTACGATCGATATCGATACGATATCGACATAATATTGTCGATATCGTCGATATCGACATCATATTTGTTCTTGGACATGTATGAGGATCCTTCCATGTGCAAATAAGTTTCAGCTTTTCTGGCCAAGTAGTTCTTGAGAAGAAGATTTTCAAAGATTTTTCCAATATATTTCTATGTAAAACTTTGATTACCAATTGTGGCCCCACCCTTCCCCCGGGGGTCATGATTTGAACAATTTAGAATCTACACTACCCAAGAATGCTTCCACATAAGTTTCAACTTTTCTGGCTCAGTGGTTCTTGAGAAGAAGATTTTCCAAGATTTTTCCTATATATTTCTATGTAAAACTTTGATTCCCCATTGTGGCCACACCCTTCCCCCTGGGGGTCATGATTTTTATAATTTAGAATCTACACTATCCCAGGATGCTTCCACATAAGTTTCAGCTTTTCTGGCCCAGTAGTTCTTGAGAAGAAGATTTTCCAAGATTTTTCCTATATATCTCTATGTAAAACTTTGATTCCCCATTGTGGCCCCGCCCTTCCCCCGGGGGTCATGATTTGAACAATTTAATATCTACACTACCCTAGGATGCTTCCACATAAGTTTTAGCTTTTCTGGCCAAGTAGTTCTTGAGAAGAAAATTTTTAAAGATCTTTCTATATACATGTATTTCTATGTAAAATTTTGATTCCCCATTGTGGCCCCGCCCTTCCCCCGGGGGTCATGATTTGAACAATTTAATATCTACACTACCCTAGGATGCTTTCACATAAGTTTCAGCTTTTCTGGCCCAGTGGTTCTTGAGAAGAAGATTTTTTAATGACCCCACCCTATTTTTGTCTTTTCTTGATTATCTCCCCTTGCGAGGGGATACAAATGTATGTCCCTTCATTTTAACGATTTAAATTCCCCTTCACCCAAGGATGCTTTGTACCAAGTTTGATCAAAATTGGCCCAGTGGTTCTTGAGAAGAAGTCGAAAATGTGAAAAGTTTACAGACGGACAGACGGACAGACGGACAGACAGACGGACGGACGACGGACAAAATGTGATCAGAAAAGCTCACTTGAGCCTTCGGCTCAGGTGAGCTAAAAATGCACAAAAAACAGCTTTGTGTCACAGGGTGGCTGGCGGCTTCCCAAAATCAGTTTTTATATAGTTTTTATTTACAAAAATGTACAAATACACGAGTTTCTACATGGCTCAATGGCTCACTGCTGGATGGCTGGATAGCTGGCCTAAATGGGATCTATAATATAAATCAAAGTTAGATACAGACATAAGATAATTATACATTGCTCTTACTTGTACATTTTGCTGTACATTTACTTAGGTGCATTTTACTGCATTACACATTACATTGTTGCATTTACTGCACTGTGCTCATACTTCAATACACTTCATACTACTTTACTTTAGAGAACTTTTACGTTCACACATAAACTAAGTGTATTACATGTACTTGTAGACAACCACTTTAAGACGAATAATGTACGCCATACTTTATACATACATCACTACGTCTACATTATACATATACTCATACACTTATACTTTTACTTATAACACATATACTTTACATGAGCAAATATTACTTTGAATCTAACTTACGTCTGAAATTATAGAACACAGTTCTGTGGCCATTTCAGGAATAAAAACCGTCAATAAATAATACAACTTACAAAAACAAATAAAATACACTAATCCAGAATAGGGGGACCTCTGGTCATAAGATATTAAAACATATATCAAAAATAAGGTAGAAAGTTGAGCAGCCTTAAACACTTCTGCTCTCTCCAATTGCTACGCCCAATCTGATTTCAAGGGATTTAAATCGCCAGGGAAAACCTGCTTAACAACCTTAAAAGTATGGTAAACATTTTGGGCTTATATTATTAGTTAAATAGTTATCAGACAAAAACATATGGAAATCAAATATGGACATCAATTGTGACACTTTGCCTAGTACTTTTTTCTTGATGTTATTGATAAATAGCAATATCCACTATAATTTACACCTTCTAGCCCTGTTTCCATAACAACCAGGTTATTTACCATGCTTTCTTTCGTATAGTCAATCTTTTCATTCATTGAAGTTTCAGTGAGAAAAAAAATTAGCTGAATCCAAAACATCGCGTAGCCACATCATTTTGATATTTAGGTATGTGGAAAGACTTATTGGTTTTCTTCTGTAAATTCCTATTATTTTTCTTTCGCTGATTTTTTGTTTCGACATTTATCGAAGAGACTTTTTGTTCATCGTAAAGGTCATTAAAAGTTAGGAACAGATTTGACCCAACGCATATGAACTATGACCCCTTTCGAAGTTATTGCCCCTTTCGGAAGAAATGCTTGTTATCGATACTCCTCCGGAACCGTAAACCGTAGAGGTACGCATGCTTCACCCATGTCTTCGACTAATTTAGTAGGTTCTCCAAACTGGGAAGTGCGAAAGATTTCCTAAACCCCTTCGAGTAGTTATTGCCCCTGAAAGTTTTAAAGCTTACCACAAAAAAAATTAAAACTTTTAAACAACAAGTGGTTAACATTTGGAACCAACTGCGTGTGATCTTATGACCTTTGACCTTGAAAAGTAGGTCAAGGTCAAAGGTCAAGGTCATTCAAAATATGAAAAATTAAGGGGTTTTTTTGTAGCTCCTTTGTTCTTTAACAAATTTTAAACATCTTTGCATCTTTAATATGTACTCTTAAAACCATTCCAGAGATTTCATGCTTGTCCCCTTTGACTGACCCCTCTAAAAGTTAATGGCCCTTTCAGTGTAAACCCTTGTTATCGCTACTCTTCCGAAACCGTAAACTGCAGACTTTCGAAACCTTCAATAATGCCTACGACTAATTTAGTAGACTCTTGAATCTATTCATTGTGAAAGGATTTGTCAACCATATTTACTTGTTATTGCCCCTTACAGTTTCTGATGTTTACGAAGAACTAAAAACTTTTTAACGACAAGTTGTAAAGACATCGGGACAATGCATGAGAGATTTCGACCTTTGAACTTGAAGATAAGGTAAAGGTCAAGGTCATTTGGAAAGTATCAAAATTTCTTATATATGTTTTTTCTTGTAAATGACCTTGACCTTTGACCTTCATATTTGACCTTGAACTTTGACCTTGACCTTTTTCCTTGACCTTTTCTCACAAGTTAAAAAGATATATTCATTACTTTTACCTAGATTGAGCTTGTAATGTAAAGTTCAACTTTATAAGTGTTTTTTATGACCTTGACCTTTGACCTTGCCCTGAGAGTATTACGGTGAGTCTCTTAAGTACAATTAAATTCTAGTGAATATCGGCAAAATCTACATTTTTTTCTGTCTGAAATTTAATTGTTGCTGAGTATAAAAATTAATTTAAGCTTGTATTGGCTATTTTTTCGATTGTGGTTAATATCATTCAATTCTCCTGCTCTACTACAACATTTAATACCAAATAGTCTTGCTTTCTTTAGTACGTGGAATTTATTTCAATTTTAATTAGATTTAATATTTATGGAATGAATCTAGAAAATAGCGATTTTTCCTGTCAAATAAATTTCCACGCTCTCAATGACACCGTTTTCTTCCTGAGATGCATGTTTCAAGTTAAATTTATGCTGGTTATTACTAATTCAATTCAAATAGAAATGATTATTAAATCTTACCTATGAGTTAACTACATCTGTGAAAACGAAAGCGGCCTTTTTCAAATACATAAATTGCTACGCAACCTCAAATGCATGTATACCCGTTAATAGCAATATCATAATTGTAATCAGACAATATCCCTTAGATATTAACTCGAAAACAATCTCATTTAAACTCACATATTCACCCAGGAGCTTGTCAGAAGTTTATTAACTGTTACTACTTGACTGGTCAATGAATCAAGGAAATCCCGGTAACTTTAACTCGACAATAATACGAGTTGACTGCAACGGAATCTGTGGTGTAGTGGTTAGAACGCTCGACTGTTAATCAGAAGGTCCAAGGATCGAATTCACCTGGAAGACCTTTTAATCTTTTCTTTTTTTTAATTTTTGATTTTTTGGCGTTTTTCTGGTGTTTTTCTTCATTTTTTTCAACCCAAATGACACGGAAAGACTTAAGAAGGTGGAGAGACGTCTTATTGTTCTCTGAACAATTAGTTTACAAGTTCAATCTCCTGTTGGTCATGTACATGTATGTGATGTTTTTCCTTTCATTTGATATTGTTAAAGTAAAAGATTGCAATAAATGTAGTATACAGTTTAAACAAATTTGATATATTCAACTCTATTTCTACTTCTAAGGATAAGCTGGATTTCTACTCATTCCCTGTGTATACCACAGTATCATGTCCTAGGAACCAATCAGATTGGAGAAGTAGGTCATCTGCCATAAACTGTACAGAGAATAATGGATACATGTGTATACCCAATGAGAACATTACACAGCTGTTGGAGTTTTGCTACAGATATCCAAGGATTCCAATTGAAAAGGGTAAAAAGAAACAATGGCAATTTAATTTTATGCTTATTTTAGGAGAATTTAACACTTTACTTTGTTGCCATTATTAAATTATTGATAATTATGATTTTTAGTTCAGTATACTTATTGAATCCTTGTATTTTGATGTGATTATACATTTGCATGTGAAAACATACATTTTTCTTAGCTCTACAGGTCAGGGATCATAAGAACTTATATTATAGTAGTGTGTCCGTCGTCCGTCTCTCTGTCTTTGTGTAAACAATGTCTCGAAATGCTTCTCCTCATGCAGTTTTGGTCTGATTTTAAATAACTTTGAACACACGTTTACTGCAAAAAGATTCATAATTATGTAAATTGGTTTTCCTTTCGATGAACAGTGTTGCCATGGTTACTTAAAAAACGGCTTCTGTCAATTCTTTCAAACTGATACTGAAAAAACCGGTTTAGTCTGATTATAATATAATGTGGCATGTCAGTAGTCTACATTCTGATACTTGCCGATATTTGTCAGTCTTGCTCCTTTGTAGAAGTATAGGTGGCGCCACAACCGATTAATTAGGTTCAACAACACTTCCGGTAGCAAGTAAACACTTCAAATCTGGGCAATTGTCAATGGTATATCGATGTTTTCTAGGATTCCCAAGTGTTTGAGCTGTTGTTAATTAAGCTTTACTGTAGATAAAAAGCAAGGGAAACGTTAGGTATCGGCCATACAAAAAGCCGATCATGAATTTCGCTACAAAAACCTCGCCTGTGGTGATGTGCCACATGCATTTGGGGAGACGTCCATCTCTGCAACATCAGAAGGTATATATACCTCATTTAGTTTTTTTCGTATTTAAAAAGTTTTTTAACTTTAAAATATATATATTCTCAGTAAATCCTGTAAATTATGTGTCGTTTTCACAGGTTTACAGGATGGGGGGGGGGGGGGGTTCAGTGTCAAACGTATCTGTGGTGTTCATAACAATAAATTAATAAACTATGAACAGATATAAATCAATAATGATTTAATTGTGAAAAGCTACAATACGAGTCTAAATGCATTTAATTAGTTTTTATTATATATTATTTTATGTTGATCTTAGTACAAAATACACATGAAGTTAAAATTTCACACCCATGTACACTACGGTCAACGCGGATCCCGTATTTTCCCGCGACCCCGCGATGGTGTTTTAATCCTTTCCGCGATACACCGTCACGGTTTTCTCATCGCAGTGATCGCGGGCCCACGAGTTTACCGTGACGGTGTTAGGTACCGTTGTTGAGATTAAATCTAGAAGTGCTTGTTCTCTTTTTTATTCTCTGTTCATATAAAAAAAAAAGATAACGATAAATCTAGAAATGTTACACGATATTTTTAAATAAGAGTTCGGTGTAAATAAAAAAAATGTTATAATTTGAACATTTCTTATTTCAAATGAAGAATTCAAAGTTAACTGTTTTCTTGTTTAAGAAAGTCAAATATATTTTGAGTATCTTTTATCAAAAATATTGATGAATGCATCGCGTCAACCTCTATTTCATTTTCGTTTTTCATCTGCCGTATTTTAATATTTTACTAAATTTATTTCCAAAAAGTATAATTCTTCAAATATACGCGACAAACATATTGAGTGTGCGTACATGTAAGTGTTAGTGGGTTCGGTGTGTAAATTATAATGTGCATATAATTACAATATAAATATGAATGCAGATAGGTGTAAATGTATAAATAAAAATGCACATGCCAAGATATGTCTAGATATGAATTGGTGATTTATTTTAAGCTCGTTTATATTTGTATTTTGATGTGTATATATTAAAGTAAACTAGTTTACAGCATACTGCTAGATTTAATGTGTGTTAAATGTTTCTTTACCTGAATTAATATAATTAATATTTTATAAATTTTCTATGAATTGGGGGGGGGGGGGTTAAGTGTTGTATTTAATTAATTCAGACGCTCATACAATCATACATATTAATAATTTTAAATTTTACGTTTCTAAATAATACATATTTATAATTATATGTTTAATTTAAAATATACATTTAATTACAAATCGTGGTCTAGTTAAAATTAAAAACAATAATAAGCATGATTCGGCAGGGTCGGCTTGAAATTATTATGAAAATTTTAAAACTGTTTGTCTTCTCCTATATATGTACAATAATTACATGTATACGTTTACTTCATTCCTTTCTTTATAAACTTGTCTATTTTTTTTAACCCTTGGCTTTTATTTACGGTGCACCTCTGGTATAATTTACATGTAGTGATCACCGTACTGTTCAAATGATTTTCCTATGTATACACATGTGTAGAATTATCAATTACATAACACTTCCTGTCTGTGCACGGGTTTACGGCATTGTAATTCATCGTACGGTAGAAGTTTCATCCACCAAAGGAATAAACGATGCAACAAATTTCATGAGATGAATTTTATTCTAAATCACACATATATATTAATCTATGTAAATATTTTTCAGATAAATTAAAGAGATAAAATAAAGACATTAATGTCATGATCATAATAGAAAACCGACATAATTATTTTTTTTAAATTTACAATTTAAAATTTTGAACTGAAATTTTTTTTTATTTTTGACCCAAATCACAATAACTTCAGTATTTAAATGCTTGACTGTATTTTCTTGAAGGGTTACTTCTAATTACGTCGAATACGTTGTGTCTCATTAACTATTTTTTTTTTACTTTTATATATACAACAGGTCTATTTTCAATATACACCTTCATTTTGTTATACAGTCATGTTTCTATCAAACAAGTTCAAATGCAAGTATTCTACACCCATGCTATAGTCTGTTTATGTCTTGTCTAAATTTATCGAGCGCATCGGGTTGGGAAATATTTATTTTGCGAAGCTTTTATTTGTTTATCTCGAAGAACTCCTAAGATAGTAATTCTGAATTAAGGCAAGCAAATGAATAAAAATATTAAAAATAAAAATTAAGAACATAACATAAGATTATTAAAATAATGAATTAATGTGTTGGTAAGAACGGACTATAGATTTCCAAAGTTAGCGGGGCACCTACCCCGAAGGAAACCACCCCACTTTCGATACACACAAACTACGGGGTATATACGTAATGTTAGGTAATACCTCTCCTGTTGCTTTACTTATAATGTTTAGATAGTTGAAAGGGAAAAGCCTTGTTTCAGAATCCATTAATACCACTGACAACAATAATTTAGCTATTGTGGTGTAAAATGGAGGAGGGGGGGGGGATAATTTGCTCATCAAGCTTGATGGCCATTAATAAAAATTAACTGCTTTGAACCATAATTATGATTATTAATGACCAACTTAAAAGGAATTCATACCTAATTTAAAAATAATATAAAATACACAAAGTTGAATTTAAAAAATATAACACTGCATCAAATATAAAAAAAATATGACTTAGTCGGGATCGGAATGATATCAATTCCTAAATGTAGAAACCATCAAAGACACGGTAAATTGAATAAATGAGTTGGAAAAAAATAAATATAAACTTTAATTAAGTTTATATTGTTTGGGGTTTTCAGATTTTCTAATTTTTCAAATTTATTTGCTAGAAAAAGGGAAGGCATTAATTCGTAATATCCGTTAATAACCGGACTGGAGGGGAAATATAGAAATATACAAAATGTAAAAGATAAGTAAATAAAATAATAATTTTCAATCAATCACCATGTGAATCACTAATCCATTTATATATTTTTCAAATGTTTTGGATTAAAATAAATGATATTTGCCTACCGAAGACTTTAGTCTGGTCCGATTTTTAGGAAAAAATACTTCTAACGGCAAAAAAATATGCTGGCCTTCAAGAAAATGGCGTTAAATAGATCAAAATATACAAATTATATATTTATCAATTCTTTTTTTTTTTACCATTTTTTAAAAACCAAAATGACGCTAAATATATGACATGCATTTTACTCTGTGCGAAATGTTGGGGGAGGTAACTCGCGTTTACGGCGATTACTTTTATTTAGTACCTGAGACCGATATCGCAAACCGCGATGGTGCGGATCAGGTGAGGGCCCGTACCGCGGGAATACGCGGTTTTACCTGAGTTACATGTGTTAAGCTGCGATCAATTTCACACCGCGAGGACTCGCGGTAAATACGGAAACCGCGTTGACTGTAGTGTAACATATTATTTTAATCTGTAAATTTATAGTTTTCTTGACCATTTATAAGACAACTATAATTAAAGGTTTTAAAGGCCTTGATATTTAGAGCCTGATCTTTCCAATTTTTGCTTGGAATTGAGGAAGATTTAGCATAAAGCAAAAGAAGTACACAGTTAGACTGTATATTTAATAAGGTATGTACATGTAATTAGAATGCCTAGCGCTGTGACAGTTGTCAAGGATTACCCCTCAATTTAAATTATTCAGCAGTTTACTTGAAAATTCTGGGACATATCTGTTTAGAAACCTGTTGTTTAACATAGGGGGCTTTAATTATTTTGATCCCCTACAGAACTTTTAAAATCCCATCATTTATCTTTATTTGGAGATACAAGGGCATTATTTATTTATTATTTGTGACATAAAAATTGATAATTAAATCTAATGTAAATTCGGTATATTTCGTGTTTTAGGAATTGACTGAAATATCAAGAAAAGCAGACACTCCCACAAGGTGGCCTTTGGTCTAGGCAGAGAATCCGAGATTTATGAGGAAATTAACCACTGAATTATTAAACTTGGACTCATTTTACATCAGATTAGCCTGAGCAGTATATTGTGATAAAAATATGATATGGATTTGAAAGGCTGTAAACAATCATGACAGTTTTTTTACAAAGATAAATGGAAGGATTCCTTAAAAGAAACCCATGGATGTAATTCTTCATTATGATTGATCATACATGTATAGGATTTGAAAGTCTAATATGGCATTGAAAATTAGGTACAATATTTTAAGTGTATGATTTCTAATTCGGCATATGGCATATTTTATTTGTTTTTGCACATGTCATTATATTAAAACAATAATATACAATATAACTGTTGTCTAAAATTATTTGAAAAGTTTTTATTGTGTAATTATTTTAAAACCTCCTATTAAAATCAGATTTTTGTTACCCCATGAATTTCTGATGGTCGCTTAAATCTTTGATATGTACAGCAACCATCAGAAATTCGGAGCATACCAAAGATCTGGTTTAAATCAGATTGTGGGCACTAACACACACTCCTATTTAGAATTCTGCAGTAATATATTTTTTTGTATACAATATTTAGCAGAAATTACTTACAAGTTGTTTGTTTTACGCACACCCTTGACACAGTCACATTTTGAAAAAAAACAAAACTTTGAAGAGTGACACTGAGTATCAGCTGGGTAATACCTACATGTAGGTTACATTTCCCGGCCGGTAGCCGTAGACCGGTGGTAATCGGTAGTAATCCGTGGTGTTAAAGATGTCCCAACATCGGTCCACATCGGCCTAGCAGTCCTAAAAGTATCAGTATCACATTATCCAGCGATGGGTATCCGATGGGCAACCAATGCATTTTATGTTAAAAATGGCGTGGTTACCGCCCGGACTAACAAAGGCCCAGTGATGCATTGCTAATTATAAAACAATGTTCCAGTATAACCGGCCGATGTATAATACATCGCTCATACATTGGTGAACATCGTTCGTACATCGGTCGACTACGGGACAATGTTTGGTCGAACATCGACCGATGATCGGCCGTTATCTGTTGAACACCAATCAACTCCCCGATGACCTCAGATTCCACGGATATTGGACGATGCTCGGCCATACATCGGCCGATCCTTTAAAGATGTGTTAATGATGGGTTGCCGTTGAGGAGCGATATTAGGCATCGTTGAAGACATAGCTGGAATTTAACTACGAATTATTTCTTACCGATGACCCCACCGATTCGCAAAAAAGCCTCAGTCACCTGCCGATCACTAGTAGTGCCCGTCCGGCAACCACACCATTTTCATAAAAAATGCATCGGTTTCTTATCGTATACCCCATCGCTGGATAATGTGACTGATACTTAAGAATGTTTCATAGGAATGTCAATAATTATATGATCCGTAAAATTTTATAAATTCTAATTGATAAAGGGTAATCTTGATAGAGTTGGTGGTAAGTGCCAGAGGAATATTGCATTAGTCATTTAGAGAAAGGGACTTGGACGTTCTTGTGAATATCTTTTATAAGTTTGACTAGATCACTGGGACTTGCTCCCGGTGTGTAATATTTTATTTATTTTTAAAAAATCATGCTATTATATGGAAATAATAAAACAATGAGTTGTTTTATCATTACTGTTATGCTTTTTTTTTCAAAATGAATTAGTAAATTTTTACACGCCGTGAGCAAGCCCCTGTGCTAGATTTGACAAATCTTGGCACCTTCACTTCTTCCCCAACTCTCTCTCTCTCTCTCTCTCTCTCTCTCTCTCTCAACATGTTCGGTAACCAATATTTTTTTACGATTCTTTGAAATATTTCAGCTCAGAAAAACGTAAACCAAGCGAAATATTTTTAATTTCATACACTTTTAATTTCGTCCACGCTACACTCAGTGTCACTGTATATATATATATATATATATATATGCGTCCCAGGCATTTCCAGCTGATGAGTCAGATTACTATGTACACTTGTGTAATGTAAACATCACTTGTTAATCCCGTTAAAAAATAACGTAAAACGAAAAAAATATGTAACAATAACAGTGAATTTATTTTCTAATGTTCATAAAATATTGTAAATGTAGATGTATTTCTTTCCGATCTATTTTTATACTCTTCATCGGTGTTTATTTTTATGGTCAACGCAATTGCTAGTTGACTGAGGAAATTACGATTATAATCTCAAAATACGGAACAGACCTTTCCACAAGCTCCAATTTCGATCAAAGTATCGTGCACTTCGCCGATGTTATTCCTTTTTGATACTTTAAGACACCAAATACTGTATTCAGTCATTTTATAACGTATATTTTCACAACAATTGATATCTTCGGATATTGAAACAATATTTCTGAAACTTTCCTCAAAGGACGATCACTGGTTGTTGTTGTGCCATGTGGTCATTCAGTTTCAAAATGGCTACCGTTGCCATGGAAACCTGCAAAAAGTGACAAATTTTGTCCGCAAGTGTTCTCTCTGGTTCGTTGAACATTTGTCATGAAACTTTTTTTTTTATTTTATTGATTAGTAATTGTGATTCGCATTTTAAATTTTCAAATGATCGGTTATTGTCATGAACACAAGAGGAAAGTGAACATTCTTTAAGTTTGATTTTTAAATGAAAGTACTGAAAGGACTGATACGAATTGATAGTTGTTCAAGCTTAGCTAATGGGTATTGTATTAGTGATACAAAAAATGCAAGTCTTGACCGAAATTATCAATAGCTGCCTTGGAAATAGGGAAACAGTTCTGGGTGACAAACGCCATTGCTTGCAATAGCAGATTCTCTAGTTTTATTTATTGCTGTTACTTTTCTCTTCTTTTTTTTTTTATAAATACAAACCAGTAGAGCTATAGTCTCGACAGAGAATTCTGTTTTTTTTTTTTTTTTTTTTTTGAGGAAAAAAAAAGTCTCACGACATTTCTTCATTTATTATTTATAATAATAATACAACTGAAACGTCATACTTTAGATTAAAACATTTTTTTAGATATCTGTTTGATACTAAAGAAATCAACGTCTCTTGTTGACGCCTACAGCTGTAAACAATTTAGAAACGGGTGTCCAGATAAGCTGTACTGGAGCGATGGAATCTTGGAATGTACTTATTACACCTATCATAAAAAAATTGTTTTTGTTAAATTAAAGTATATCATAATGCTTTTTAAATTTAAAAAGGTTTAAGGCATTTCAGTAAATATTGATCTCTAATCTAACTTCTTATTACCATTGATTTTCATGAAAAATAATGCTATAAAAATATATATTCCGAGTAAACCACCGCTATCAAAAATTATATAAAAATACACAGTAATCGATTACAGTACTGAATTTACTTTGATATTAAAAATGTTTTGAGTATTTATTTTTTAAATATATCTTTAAGAAACAAAATTGATTTATTCTTTAAATACGTATACTTATCATTTAATGTTAATCATATGATAGATTTTCGAATCTTTTTTTTTATTTTATAATGTTGAGTAATTCATTTAAAGATCCAAGTTGCCTATCTATTGGAAATAGATGTTTTCTTGATGAGCCTCTTTGTAAAGATGAAGGGTATGTGATTAGTATTCTCCTCGCCAGAAGAAATAATATCAAAATAACAAATAAGAAAATCATTTTATAATATAATCATAGATATGTTCACTAGACTTGATTAAAATTCACTTCTATTTCATGTTGAAAGGTGTCAAAGATAAAGAAACCTCCTATATTTAACATTTATATATAAAAAAAATTGTTCATATGTACATGTACGAGGGGTGTTAGAAAAGTTCGCGGACAAGTTCTATTGTGAGCGCGCTATTGACAACGAGCACACGGCGGGTGTGACCGGTCGGCAGGGGATGCTCACTCCTCCATGGCACCTGATCCCACCTCTAATGTTTCAGAGGTCCGTGTTTGCTCTGCTCTTTTTTTGTATATTGTTTAATGGACGTTGAGATTGAATACTGTTCGTTATCTCTATATCCTTCTTCCACGAAACCGGTCAAACTTTCCAGATAAAATCTTAACCTTTTTTTCCAATTTATATACAAGAATTTGGTGTTCTCCGGTGATTATTGAAAAATATACAGCTCTTTTATTTTGATAAAACTTGCTTCACGGAGCATGCTACATTTTGGCAAGTTAACATCACAAAGACCATGAAGATTCTTTATTAAAATTAAAAATTGCACAATTTTAGCGAAAAGAGATTTATGATATTTTACCTGCCGTTAAAGCATGCAGGAAACGTCACTGGGAGAAATTTTGAACTAGTATATACGAGGGTTGATCCAAAAGTTCGTGGAATTTCTTTCTAAAATTTTATCGGGATTTGATGAAAGCAAACAACAGGCATATTCATAATATAGAGTCATAATGCAACAATATTGGAAAATTTTACTACTTTCCAATTTTCAATGAGGTCACACGAGCTTCCTGAAAATGGATAGTTGTGAAACCCGGGGGAGACTTCGACGTAACGTCAAGTTAGATTTGTCACGTCACGTTATATAGATGCAACTCGCCCTAATTTCCAATATGAATTCGTAACTCTGCAAAAAGCTGTCTTTTCTTTATTTTTTCTCTCAAAAAAGCCTGGTTATCCTCTTGCACCAACTTATCTTCATTTTCCACTCATATTTCAATTTACAACCCATCTTTCCATATGATATTCCAATGATCATGATCCAATTTCAGAACTGTAATGCAGCGTACAACGTCCATTAATTAACGCTTTTAATTCTTTAAAGGGGTTCTGCTCCTAAAACAGTCTCCAAAAAGTCACCGCACCTTTAATAACGTCCATGGCAGTTCTATTTTCTTATATTTCTCATGCCACCGAAAAACCAATACAAACTAAATGCATTTTCCTCAAGTCTTTGTCTATTATATACACATTTAAGATAGAGTGATCACGTATTTTTCACAAAACGTATGACTTGACCGAAATTTGACGTTGTCTAACGACTTAAAGATGAACAATAAATAATCAATTAATAAACTGAATATACAGTAAAATCAGTAAAACTTTCACACAAAGGTTTATAAAAGACCAAACAATCGTAATAATGACAAAATTTTCGTTTTCTATACCACACAGGCCGGTTTCAATCTCATTTCACGTATTAAGAATTAAAATGAAAATGAACGTGTTAATGTCTCCCCCGCATTACCAAACAACCGTTTCTATGGCAACTGCCATAGAGTTACTATCAAGGATATTTAAACTGTTTTTCAATTTATAATATTCATGAAGTGTCTATATTTTCATTTGTAATTTTCAACCAATTCAACCTAAAAATGAATAAAATATGAAAAAAATCCACGAACTTTTGGATCAACCCTCGTATATGACTGTTTTATAGCCGTTTATAAATGATCAACGCGTAAAAACACAGCCAAAAATGGGAACGTCTTTTATCGTCATGGAGCACTTCACTACGTAAAAATTAAGTGTGCAGACAGGAAAATGTCCAAAAAGAGATTAAAATGTTTAAGATGCTGCCGGGAATTTCCTACAAATTCAAGAACAAGTTTTTAAATGGCTGTAGCTTCATAAAAATGGAAGGATTAACATTTTGAATGATTAACTCCATCGATACTTCAATTCCCCCTTATGGCATGGACGTTGCGTTGCGCCTATGGTTTTGCATAGTTTCCGTACCTGATCAATTAGCTGCATAGATTTTTTTAAAGATCTCAATAATATCCAAATCAGTACAAAAGACATTATAGTAGAAAAGTTTGATGTCTTGATACAAGTATTCAATTTTAAAGTAGAAAAAAAACATAGGAAAAACTGAAGAAATGAAAGATTTTAAGAACTGCGACAAAGCTTAACCGACGTTCGATACTGATATTTAGAGTCTTAAACTTTTTTTGCCAAGTATATTTTTAGTTTCTACATATATAGCCTAATTAAAATTCAAATCAAAAAATTGGGGTCTCTACGCTTCTTTTGGCCTACAGTACATTTAATATGACCTTTTTGCACTGAATTTTTGACTTAATTAAAAATTATATTTTTGACGTTTTCCCTCTAATATTTTTATTCAATTAAAGCATGAAACAAAATTTGTTTTAAAAACAGACACTTCAAAATTGTGAATAAGAAAAAGTTTTAAATTGCTTCGCATAATCAATTATTTGACCTTTCTGCACTAATAAACTGTGATTTTTCTGGCAAGAAAATTATTTTAAAGTCTTAAACTTTTTCTGATTTTGAGCATATAGGCCAAATCAATCTTAAATATTTAGAAAAGAACATGAAAAGCAGGGGTAGATCATATAAATTTTTAGATATTTCTAAAAAAAAAGTGTCAATTTTACGATAAAATTGGCTCAATTTTTTTCCCGGATTTTCAGAATATAAATTTACTATATTTGTCACACTTTGTTAATAGAATTCATAAGAAATATTTTAATAGATATTTCAGCATAACACATTAAACTGCAAATACCAGCTTTTTGTGCAACCTAAAGGAAAAAAAAGAATCCAAAATTAACAGTACTGTTATAGTTCAAAATGGAAAAACTGATCATTTTCGTGTAAAAAAAAACTTTCACCACAAAATATAGTCCCTATCTTAATTCTACTTGAATGAAATTTAATCGCTGTTTTTTTTTTTTTTTCATTGAATATAGTTAAATTTGCACAGTAGAATTCAGATTTAATGTTAGAACTTAACAATGATGCAGAATTTTATAAATAAAGGACCTGGCCAAATTATGCTCAAAATCTCAGGATCGTAACGGGTTGAAATCTGGCTGTCACGTCGCTTACGTCAAGTGATTGCTCCGTGAATCTCATTACCCCATAGTAAAAATAGTTGTAAAATTTGAAGATTTTATAATATGGACCTGATTTTTTAGATACCAACAAACAAAATGTAGGAATTTATTCAGACATACTTCACAGTACACAATGGATTTTCCGTAATTCAATGTGTCCGCGAACTTTTCTAACAACCCTCGTATGTAAGAGATTCCTTACGTACATTCTTACATTCTCTCTCTCTTTCCCTCTCTCTCTCTCTCTCTCTCTCTCTCTCTCTCTTTGTACACTATGCAAGTGTGTGTTTGAAATAAATTTATGTTTAAGCCACAGTGCAGTACTGGTATGTCCAAATTTAATTTTCATGAAGCTCAAAGATCACATATAATTGTTAGAAGGTTCTGTCTTGTAATGGTTCTTAGACAGTAATAAAATATGTAGGATAGACTTATTTACAGTTCATTTAGATTTTATAAGAATATTCTTTTTTTGCTATTGAAAAGAATTACTACCATTGGACCTTCAGAAGTCACTCAAGGTACAACAAACGTCGACTTGGGATCGACCATCTTAAATACAAGTTTAGGAAATACCCCCATCCCAGATATCGATGGAAGTAATACATGGGTTTGGATACTAGTAATAGGAGTATTTCTGATCGTGTTCACACTAGTATGTGTGCTTATATTCATTATCAGAAGAGGAAATCTGAAGACTTTGGGCGGTATAAAATTTTATATCAATTTATACTGTAAACATTTTTTTTGAAATGATATGATATTACATAAAGTAGATTTAAATGGTTATTAATAAAAGTTTTAAAAATATTTTACTACCTTAGATATATTTTCTTCAACACAAATAAAGAAATTTCAACATCATTAGCTGAAGTTGAATTAATTTTATTTTCATACACTTAGTGTGCTTCAACATTTCAGTTAATTAGATTGATAGATTATCTAACTTAAAACAAAGGTATGAGGAAGTATTTGTTTTTTTTTAAATTAATACATGCATCTAATTAAACTGATTATTATTGATACGTCTTAAGTTCAAATTTGTACTTTTATTGACAGCATATTTGTCAATAAGGGAAATAACAAAAGGAATATAGTTTAAATTGATACTAAAATGATTATGTACAGTCATTCTAATCCTTTTCTTTTGAAATATAGAGAGGCACAAGGAGGAGGAGACCATTCCCCTTAAAATGGACATCTCTGGAGAAAGAGAATTTTTTAAAACGGGTAAATGTTATTTTCATGTTTTTTACTTTATAAAATTATTAATGTAAAATGCAATATTCACATTTGTTGTGTTTTTCTTCAAAACCAACTGTGAAATCACTTTGAATACCATTTTCATGTATACTAGAAATATACACAGAGAAAAGTGCGTTCACGTGACGTCACCATGAGGTTGCAGTGACGGTTGTAAAAAAGCAACGATATAGGGTAGTAAGGAATTCAAATACTGAGTAAATTTTACTTGCTTCCAAACATGCAAAATGTAAACATAAGGTAAGTTTTGTGTGACTAGCGTGCTTCATGAAATATGACTACGTGACAAGTCTGTTTGCTTCACACACCAATAACACACACGAATCTTAAAACATTTCTTAAATAACTTTTACACCTGTGTTTAATATCCTCTTTACATATTTTCATTGATTTATTAGCGCTGCCCTATAACGTTATACTTTTAAATCTTATGAACGTCTCTGTAGTCTCATTGTGATGTTACTTAAGCGCGAGTTTCTCTTTGAATATTTCTACGCGTGAGTATAAAACAAAACAAGAGGCCCAGGTTCCACATCGCTCACCTGAGCAATTTGCTAGGAAAAAAGCACATATCAGAACCGAACTGAACGTTTACTCAGTTGGGGGGGACTTGAATTTTAACCTCCTAGGGGGTCTGGGTTTGAACAAACTTGAATCTACACTACCTGAGGATGATTCCATATAAATATCACTAAGCATGGATTTGAAGTACTTGAAAAGAGGATTTTAAAAGGTTTCCCTATATATTCCCATTTAAAACTTTTATCTGCCATTTTGGCCCCACCCTACTCCCGGGGGTCATGATTTGAACAAACTAGAATCTACACTAACTGGTGATGATTTCACATGAGTTTCATCTTTCCTGGCCCAGTGGTTCTTGAGAAGAAAATTCTAAAAGATTTTTCCTATATATTCCTATGTAAAATTTTGATCGGCCATTTTGGCCCCACCCTACCACCGGGGGTAATGATTTGATCAAACTTGAATCTACACTCCCTGGTGATGATTTCACACGAGTTTCATCTTTCCTGGCCCAGTAGTTCTTGAGAAGAAGATTTTTTTTTAAATGCCATTAATTTTTCTCTTATTCATAACTATCTCCCCTTGAAAAAGGGCGTGGCCCTTCCTATGAACAAATTTGAATCATCTTTACCCAAGGATAATTTGTAACAAGTTTGGTTGAAACTGGCCCAGTGGTTCTTGAGAAGTAGTCGAAAATGTGAAAAGTTTACAACGACGACGACGACGACGACGACAACAACGACAACAACGACGACGACAACAGACAACGGACAAATTTTTATCAGAAAAGCTCACTTGAGCCTTTGGCTCAGGTGAGCTTAAAAGCATTCAGATCAATTTCATAAAAAAATTTAATTCAATTCAATTAGAAAAACACAGCAAAAACTATTAATTTATCAGAAATAATGTGCTTTACTGCCTGTATATCGCCCTGTTTATTTATGGATTAGAAATTTTAAATGTCAAAGGTGTATCAGGTTATCTTCTTAAAATAAGACTTTATGTTCTCAGATATAGGGATGATCTGCCATTCTGTACCCTTTTTTGAAAGACATTTAAAATTAACATAAACAAGATAGCATAGTACCTGTATGTCTTACCGATTTTGACTTCTTTTACATCAAGTCAATGTTAAGGAAATTAAACCAACTTTGAATATGAGAATGTTAATAACTTGTAATGCATACGCGTGGATGATGCTACTCGTGATATAAACATATGCCTTATCCACGGGTAGGTGCTGTATCAATAGCAGATTTATGACACGGTCCCTCCTCGTTGCTTCAAGGAACAAATTTATTAAAAATTTGATTTGTAAAAAATCTTGCCTTATATAATAAATAATGATATGCAAGAATTTTGCTAAAATCAGCAACAAGAATCGTATAATTCAAAGAAGTGTCAAGTCAGTATCTGTATCGGTTACTCTAAATACCGATGTTAACGCCCCCTCCCGAATGTTATTTATTTTTTTTTTTTAGATAAACGTAGGTCTAAGAGTCTAGCATTCAACTGTTAAGGAAAAATTCCTTTGACACTTTCAGAGATGTTTTATGTTGCGTTATATTATATACATGTATGCCTTATAGGGTATACTCAGCTATGTTAAGAGGTCAGAGTTCACATTCCTTGTATATCGTATTGGAAGGTTAATTGTGACGTCATTGAAATTTTACAAGCCACAAAAATTAATTAACCACATAATCATGCATAAATAACAGCTCGAATTTATTTATTGTATCGATTATTTATAAAATCTTGTAAAATCGCAATACTTGATATCAATACGGTCGAGTAATAGAAGAAAGCCTTTCGTTAAATATGACGTCATCAGCCTTGACATGACGCAGCACAGTGATCCAGAGGATTAGATTCACTAGTTTGATAATTAGATCTACAAGAATTCTTAAATAAATATGATACAATTACTAATTTTTAAACCTAATCATTAAAACTAAAAGAAAATAATTGAATAAATACAATGTGTATAGAATATGAATTAATCTAGTAGCATTGAAGCTGCAAAGGGATAGGGAATGTAGAGAATATCGCTAAAACGATGAGCGTATTCGTGATTTACATCAAAAGTGCAAAGGCATAGACTATTTTGTTTGATCTGAAATTTAGAATATATTATTGTGTGACAATCACTTGTGCATCAGGTTAGCTTTACGGCCTGTAACAATAATTTCCCATTGTTCTTTGTCGTTGCAAAAGTCACCTGACTTAAATTGGCTGGGACAATTCCCGGGTGAGCTGCCGTGTGAGTAAGACGTATATTAGAGGGCAGTTGAATTTACTGCAGGGGCAGTATATTTTGCAGTATGCAACGTACAGAACCTAACTAGTAACAAAAGGCACGGAAGAGCAGACCGTGCGTTATGACGTTGGTGAAGTACGAGGACGTAACTGAGAGAGCTTACGATCCAGATGGGACAATACAGTCAAGCTTTCTGAGGGTTATCATCGCCTTTCCACAAGTTCCGGGACTACAGCCCCAGAAGCGATCGGACGATTGATGAACCTAAGCTGAAACTTTTGGTGTTGAGATTCAGATAAGTTGATCTGAAAGGAGATAGAACTTAGAGCTCGTGATTGTGGCAAACCTAGATAACGGAACTGTGCAAGTGAACATTACAGAGCAACCATATAAATCATAACTTTATAATTTTATAAGGAAACATTAAGTCTGTTAGTCTGTCTGTCAAGTTATAAGGTTTATTGCTTTTTTTCTTACAAGTATATGTGAAAGAGAGGTGTGCAAGTGCGTGTGTGTGTTAGTGTGATTATGTAAATATATTTTTCTTTCATTTTGTAAATAAATTTCGTTAATTGGAACTGCCTTGAGTGTTATTTGGAGATAGCCTGGCTCAACCACGTTACATATTGCTTATATAGAGTATATTTTGAAAAGTGCTGGGAGCTGGTCCTGGTCTGCATAACATTATTTTATTTATAACAGAATTTAAGCGGAGTGGAAATATTTAGCTGTTATAAGCATTTTCGGCAAAATTTGAAGTATTTTTTTTTAAAAAAAAAGTAATTAATATTTAAATGGTGCAAAGGTCACATTTTCCATACCGTTCCTTTACATAGCCGAGTAGTATTGTATGTGTAACTTACGATAGATCCGAATCTACAATGTACGTTAGCCTATCACCGATTGCACTTTCACCGTTGAAAGAATGATAACAGAATAAAATTCATGATTCCTAGGTACTTGCAATTTTCAGTCAAAAGTTAGTTTGAAATAAGCCTCAAACTGATTGTCATAAATAAAAGATGCAGATATCAAAGACATATTTTTCACATGATATTCCTCATTTCGCCATGCCATCATCAAAAGTGCGACATCATTAATTTATATGTCATCAGTTTGAATAGAAATCAAAATATTTCATATAGTTTCACGGGGTTTATCTCAAATTAAAAAATAAACACTAAACAAACACCGTATTTATATCATACGGTGTTTAATAGAACATTGTGTAGTATAGATATCCTCTATCTATGATAATTATATTATAATCTGATACAACAATAAACTATATAATTCAACACAAATATTATTATTTGTAGAAGAAATTCCACTCATGGAATCTAAAAATGAATTAAAGGAAACTGAAGGGAACCAAGAACTAAATGACGAATCTTTACTGTTGCCGGCCAATAGAAAAACCTTGAACGAAGAAAATAGTTTTGAAGACAGCTCTTTAAGTTTGTAATTTTATAATTCATAAAAAAGTCCAAAATATATGGAATGCCATATACGACAGCCAACTGCTTACTGCCAACTGCTGACTACCTACTGCCAACTGTCAGCTGCTTACTGCCAACTGCCACACATATTTGAATAAATTTTATATTTATATTGATATTTATATGAATTTTTACAAAAAAGTAAGGAAAAAAACAGGCGCGGATCCAAGACAGTTTTTCCAAGAGGGTCACCCTAGTAAAATTAAATCGAATAAATGACCAAAATGTTTATCTTATGTAATATTTAATATATGCAGTTGATAAAGTACATTGTTTTATTTGTTTTTTATTTGAAATTGGTAATAAAATGACTATTTTTTGCTTTTAATCTTTAAAGAAGCCCCCCGCTTTCCCCGGAGTCAACAAAACCTTTGAAGAAAGAATAATGAAAAAAAGATTTGTCGTTTCGCAGAGAAAGCTGTTTTGAAACTAAATTTTCTTTTTCCATTATATTCTATACCTAAAAAAATCCTCAAATAAAAGTTGTACAAGTCAGTCATGTATACATGTATCTCTGTGTGTTATATTGTTTCACATGCATAGATCAGGGGGGGGGGGGTTAAAATTTGTACAGTCATGGGTTAATATAGACACTAAACGAACTACCGGTATACATGTAACTGACCTTGGACCCTCCACTAAGAAAATTTGTTTTTTTACAAATAAGATATGTTTTACATGCATAAGATATGTTTTACATGCATAGTTCTAGAGAGAGAGGTCCGGACCACCCCTCTGAAATTCGTAAAGTTATTCAATACACAAACTAAACCACAAAAAGTTATTTAATGTATAAAATAAATCAACCAAAAAGGACCATAGAACCCCCCCCCCTCCTCCCCAACCGAAAATGTGGATTCGCGTGTTAAGTTGGTATAAAAATGTCATAGACATGAAGGTATTACGCATAAGAACCACCCTCTCCTCGGCCGAATTTTTTTTTTCACATTTAGGAAAGGACTACGTTTTTTTTTCTCGGCAAAAGATTTCTGGGTTGGATTTTTTTCTACCAGAGTGACCCTCTTGGAAAAAAATGTCTTATAGATCCGCGCCTCTTTTTTAAATTTACAAAAATATCAATGTAAAAATAAAATTTATTCAAATGTGTGTGGCAATTGGCAGTTAGCAGCTGACAGTTGGCAGTAAGCAGTCAGCAGCTGACAGTTGGCAGTAAGCAGTCAGCAGTTGGCAGTAAGCAGTTGGCTGTCGTATATGGCATTCCATAAAAATATGTTTGTATTATGATTGTAAGAGGAAAGTTTGAGAAAACACATTTCTGTCGGATTTATTTGGTTTGTGAACGTATAATAGAAATATATATTGCAATGTGTATCAAAACATAATTTTTTAATGGACAATAGATTATCTTACATTATTTTACAAATGTTCACAAGGCATAGATAAAAAAAAAACTCAGATAAATTTGTTTTTCCCCTTTTGATTTAAAAAAAAAACATAATAGTAATATTTAGAAAGTTTTACTACTCTCTCAGTTTATGGCGAATTGAGTACTATTTTTTATGCTGATGAATACGGTTTATGAAGAATGGGTAGATTATGATTTGAAAAAAAAAACCTTTTTCATGTGTATGTTTCACCCCATGTCATATTATTAAAACTGATACTTATATACTCGGAAATTTAATACATGTATGTACGTAGGTCAAATAACAAATCTAAACAAATCTTGTTTCTCTAAAAAAATGTTAACATATCAATGGTCTTCTTAAGTTACGTTTTTTCCTATAGACAATATAAACAGAAAACAATTTGAGGAAGAAATAGAAGAAACGAAGCCTGATGATAATTCCTTGTCAGATTATGCAGTGGAAGAACAGTGCGACATACAATGTATAGATGAAACCAGCAAGATTGCAGACTTCCCATCGAAAGATGTTGGCAAAGAAGAATATTCTTCGTCGAATAAATACGATATAAGCAGTTACTTAGGCCAACAGGAGGGCAGTGATAGAATAAATTCAGAAAAACTTAAGATGGGTGAGGTTAAACTTTGAGAATACAATATTGGAAATTCCTATCCCCTTTTTGAAATTTATTAGTTAACCCATTCACTTTAGGTCAAAGCTTGTCACCTAATCTTTGAGTGCTTCTATTAGAAAAGCAAACCCTCAAAAGGCTAAAACTAACAGTAAATGGCTTTCAAAGGACTCAAATACTATTTAATTGAACATATATTTTATATAATAAAAAGTCACTGATATGTGAAAATGTGAAATAGTAAATAGAAGAGATTATAATTTTTATATTGCTTTCTCACTGACATTCTGACTTTCTGTCTGTTTTTTACTCTTCGTTTTTAGATTTCTTTAATGTCTAAATTATTTAGTATGAAAACATGGTAGAAAATTTTCAAAGTTAAACACTTCTGTAAATTAATTCAAAAATTAATAAGATTCATACTGAATTTTCAGATATACTTTTCAAACTTTGATTAAATGATAACCTACAGGTATACAATAATTGTTACCAAAAAAAATTCTATGCGAGTACGAGTCAATATTATGCACGAATATATTTTACCAAGACATTGGCGTGAGGTGCAGGCTCGGCAATGATAAAGGAAAAAATGTTTTGTTAAAAAAGTTTGAACTGATCATTTTTTTCCTTTAGATAAAACAGACGTAGAAAAAACCGATGAAGAGGGAAGAAAAAGGAAGTCCGATGAGGAATCTATGAAAAATGATATAGCAAAAATACATAGCAACACACCACATTTAGATGAAACCAACACAACAACAGACCCCTCATCGAAAGACAATAGGGAAATAAATTATTTCTCACTGAATGAAGACGTTCGAGAGGGAAAATTCAGTGATTCAAAACATCTGAAGGACAGCGATAGAATCATTTCAGAAGAGCTTAGGAAAGGTGAGATTGAAATTTTGGAAATTCGCATTCGTATTTTCTTGAAATATTTGTACATGTATATACCAATCTCAGTTTTTATTTATAATCGGCATATCCACCTTAACTTAAAGTCTGTTTGCTGATCTCATAGTGGTCTCCATATCTTGAAAAACCTATGATTTTTAGTAACACAAGGAAATAATTTTAAAAATGTTTTATATACAAAACGAAAAAATAAAAAAAAAATTAATCAAATGGGAGGTAGAAGCATTTTTTTTACTCCTGGTATGTGAATAAAGTGGACACCAGTTTCATGTAAAATGTTTTAATGTTTTCTGTTTAAGGTGTGTACACACATATAATACACTATAATACAGGAAATTCAGAGTAGAAATGATCGAAATTAAAACCCCCTCATTAGTTTCGTCTGTCCGTTCGCAATGTCTGCACCGAGTTTAGAAATGTTAAAACTTTAATCAAGAAAAATAATTTTATTCAGAGTATAAATGTTAGATCGCAAAACTCTTTCACAAGTATCGTCATTCCGAACTAAGTGTTGTATACAGAGTTTTGCAAATTGATTACGCTTGTAAAACATACACAAATTTTGTAAACAGGGCACGAGCTCTATTATTGTTGATGTTTGCGATTCACCGGATGCGTCCAATTTTTAAAAGTCTACTCACCACAACTGCACAGACTGACAATATATTGTGTTAATGTTCTGCTTTCGGACAGTTCACCTCTGAATTTTTTGGATTATAGTTTTAATATTTTTTATTCATATACAACAAGATTGACACTTTTCCTAAGTATTAAGAATAAAGTTATAATTTATGAAAGTGCAAGGATGACTGTGTCAATCAAACCCGCCAAAAAGTGAAGTTTTAATAACTTTTAAATAAAATAAGATTTTTTTTGTGTGTGTGTGAAATGCTATTAAAATATATAAGTCCTAATATTATACAGAATATGTTAACTTCAAATCTGTGTTCATGCACCTTTAAATTAGATCAGATTAGATATCAATTTCTTACTAAGTGCCCTTAGTGCTGAGTAAAGATCTTACGGAGAGACGACTCTATTCTCGCAGCCAAGATAAAACATAAAACATATTTCCAGATTAAATTAAAAAATGAAAAATAACTTTTAAAAATATAGGAATAAATAAATAAAATAAAATGATTAATAAAAAGCATATGAAAAGAGGGTCAAGATTTATATTTCAAAGTAAAATATATTTTATAAAAAAAATATTTTATCAGTTTTTATTATTTTAATCCAAACATCATTCAGTTTAGAATCATTTTTAGCAACCATGAACAATGTATATGCAATGGTCTCATCATAGCGTACAAAATGATATATTTTATCATAGTATGACTCTAAATCTGTATTAAAAGTTTGACTTCAATACAGTTGATTTTTTTTTTGCTGGAATACGAGCACAAATAATAATAATTTACCAAATAATGATAATTTACATGTATTTGCATGAAGTGTATGTATGTCATGTGCATGTAACACATTTTGGAAAATTTTCCGCATTCTTATCAGTAATCTTTCGTTTACATTTTCGCTGGATCAAAATAGCCATGTTAGAGTTATTTTTTTTAAACAAATTTCCTCATGCATTCTTTTTTCAAACATTGACCCCTTCCTTACCAATCAGAGAAATATGATTTGTTTGTTCACAATCACTTAACATACATTTATGGCTATTTTTTAATAGTTGGAATACATCTTGATGGCTACGAAGTGTGGAAAACAGAGATGTCAGGTAAATTAATGTTATATCGACAACAAGTTTCAACCATATTAAGTAATACATTATTTATATATGATTTCATATTGTTTAACGTATTCGATAATTTTTCACGCGAAAAGTGAGGTCATCTCATGCTGATTTAGCACCTACGGTCATTGGATTTGGGAGTGCGGGTCCTTTGTTTTGTCAACCGTGTCACGGTACCTCATGTTCAATTCAAAATTCAAAGATTGAACCTCTGAATAACTGGCCTACGTGGCGCAGTGGTTAGACCAGTTACTCTGGAGTCCCGAAGTAAGGAGAGGATCCCTACGTCGCGGGATCGAATCCCACTTTGGGATGTGGAGTTCGGTCCTTCGAGGTCTGGTGACCTAGTAAGTGCTGGAACGAAATAGCCCACCCCTCGCTCATTGGCTCTGATATCTGACAAAATGTGTAGCTCTACACTGGCAAGTGACGGCGTCTCCACAAGTCTGAAAAATTAAAAAGGTCTAACAATATGCAATCAATCAATTTGAAAAAAAAAACTAAGACAACGCACTACCAATGGGCTACTGTAACAATCCATATTCAAGCTAGAAATTATTAGATGCAGGATTCATTATTATATAGCAATTATAAGGACTATTTTAAACTAATTTCCTCAACTGTTATTACTCCATATAAAATAAATACCACAAAATTTCCCTATTTCCCACATCTGAGAACTACGCTTTGACTCTAAAAATATCAGTGTTACTCTGTGTGGCTATTCACTCATTATTTATAACCGATATTAAAGAGGCTGGGGGTGGCAGCCATTTTCAGACTATTTCGATCTCCTTTAAATGAAGAGCTCCATATAAAGATATACAAAAATGATCAAATTTTAGGATTAAATTGTATGAATTTTATCTTTGCCAAATGATAGTAGACAGCTTAAGTTACTGTAACAGTCTGACGGTATCTAAAAAATGTTAAATCTGGTGGTTAATTTGTGGTTAATTTGATAGCCTTCTTAAACAATTAAATGAACAGTTCACGAAATCTCGAGTCCTTGACGTAATGGTATCAAGATTGTAGATATGATGACAAAACTTTTCAACATGCAATGCCAAAATCATACTGAAATTCCATCAAATCTAAGACAAAGATTGTTCTTCGAAATTTCAGTAAAATTACTTTTTAAATACTGTAAACGTGGAAAGAAGTCGGTTCACTTTATGCATAAAATGGCCTTGTAGATGTACCAATTAATTGATCAACACTTGATTTTCTATTTGAAGCATTGAAATAAAATAGAGACTTGGTGCTTTCATATTCTATTAAAAAAATTCTCCACAAAGTCCATGTCTAGGAGAACTGGCTTTATGAAATTGCAATGTCCTTGAATATTTAGGAAAACAGGTATAATTTAGTACTTTCAGTGAAGAAAAATAATATGAGCGCACCTTCTGATCTAAAAAATAAAACATGTCCATGAATCCTCAGAAACAGTTCTATCATTTACTAGTTGCATATTTTAGATCAGAGGTTGCGCTCTCTATCAAATATCAAAAGCTAACTTTAAAAATTGGCCATTTTTGTTGACTTTTTCTGTATATGAGGAAATTGACGCATTTCGTGACGTCATAATGCATTGACTAGCCAGAAAATGACGTCATTTTTTTATTGGATCGGAGTCACCAAAGATCTAAGTGATATTTTAATGCATTGTTAACTAAAAGTATGCAGTTTCAGTTTTTCAGAAATTCACAGGGCCAAATAAGGCAAAAGTGAACCTTGTTCTTTTGACGGTGTGCTAATTTTGACTATATTGACGATTTTTCTTTTTCTCGTCAAAATTTACACTCGTCAAACTTCACATCATATATATGGCGTCACAACAGACATTGACCATTGTATAACATTACCCCTTAATTTTCTCGGCTTTCTCCTATCAAAACTAGATCAACGTTACTGTTAATTTCCTTTGTAATTGGTTATAAAAACATTGTGATATTTAATCACATTTTTAAAAACTATTTAATTTAAAGTAGTGCATCAAATAATGCATGCGTTACTCAGCCTAATTATCACGCCGTGCTTGACCTAGTTTGTAACCTCAGGCTACTTACCGCTTATTATGAAAACAAAATACAAGAGGGCAATTTATTTAATCAAATCTTACACACGTAGATAGAATGTACAATCTTACACCCTGTTAATGATCCGTATGACAATTAAATTTTGGTGATTCCGTCGCTGCCTTTGTATCCCCGCGAATTCAAAGATACATGTACATAACTCTTGATTCAATATTTCGTCAAAATTAACACTCGTCAATTTCCGTAAATAAAAAATCGTCAATTTTTCAACTCGTCAATATAACCACGTTTACAGTAGTTTTATTGTCCTTGATATCGATGCACCAGTTATCAAACAATCTTTTGAAGCACATGCATTTGTGATCATTGAAATGCCTCTAAATTGTTTCAAAAGTCTAAATACTCTGTTTTTAAAACAATAAATCGTCTCTGATTGCTTCGGTATAATAAATCAGTTGTTAAATGTACATGTATACTCGGGAAATACTATATCTATGGTTGCCTTTGGAAGGAAACTTTTTCCCTCGGGGGCTTTGCCTTATCGGGAAATAGTTTTTTTCCCTTGGGAACCATCAATATATGCTGTTTCCCTCATACTCATTCCATAACTGTATAATGTATGACATTTCTTCTTGAGCAAATTCAAACTCAATAGTTTATAAACTTAATATAAACTTTAAGGAATTGTTGTTATAAATGGAAATACTTGAAATTACAAAAAAGTGCAATGAAATGATCTTTCTGATATTTTTCATAAGCAAAAAAGTATAAACAATGCATTTGTAAGCAGGGCTACTTGTTGGGTTCTGATCGGAATATTTCAAGGATAGCAGCAATATTATATTGACGTAAATGTATCTATAATTCTCATTCATCGTGCGTTGTGCGTTAACATGTGAACATTTTTAGCTTTTTCTCTGCAGTCACTCAACCAATTTCAACCATTTTTTGCATAAAGCTTCTATAGGTACGGAGGACAATAATTATGAATTTCATGGTCGCTGGCGACCTGGGGCCTGAAGGCGTGGGGCAAAACTACTTAAATTAATGGATCTTTACTCCTGAATATCAAGCAGTCAAACTGATTGTAATCAGCATTAATCGTATGAGTCCTCCACAAAAATCGTGAAATTTATGGCCCCAGGATCAGGTGTTCTAATGATAGGGCGGGGCCATATAGATAATATTGTTAAAATGCATTATTCTTCTTGAAATCTTCCTCTCTTGTCCTGGGTTATAAACCATTGAAATATATGTACATACATGTTGTTATGATGAGGAAAGATGCTTGTTTCAAATTTGTGAATTTCACGGCCCCTGGGTCAAGGGTTCTTATGTTAGAGCATGGCTGTGATGATTACATATTGAAAATGGATGAATGTTTTGAATTTTTTTTATTTGCTACTGGGTATTATGCCAATAATACATTATAAGTTTATATTTCTGATGAAAATGGTGCCTCTTTCAAAATAGTTAATTTCAGAGCACCTCAGTCAGTGGTACCGAGGTTGGGTGGATGGGTCAGTACATGGGGGTACATGTACACAGTCCGAAAATAAATTAATGCTTTGCAATTGTTCTTTGGTATTAATAAACCATATACGATGAAATGAAATTTAGGATAAAAATTTCCAAAATTTTGAAATATATCGCCCCAGTGTCTGTGGTTTTTGTGGGGTGGGTGCACAACTGGATTTTAAATGGAAATGCATTTTTTCTTTGTTACTCTGATCAAACTCTGTGTATAAAGCAACCAGCGTTAGCATGCTAAGTGTTGACATTATGATAAGCAATGCCCTTATGATGCCTCTTTCCAAGTTGTGAATTTCATGGTCTCTGTATTAAAACTCGAATCAAATTCAATTGTTGGAAAATTGCTACATGATACCTAGGTGACCTATAAAGCCTTGGGCCTCTTATCAACTCTGTTTTACACTGAAATCAATCAAGGCAAAAGTTTACTTGGTTAAAAGTATCAGTTTACTACAATACTCTTTACCTTGTGGTGCCTTCCTGTATCATTTACACATTTGCATTAACTTTGAAGACAGAAGGCCCAATGTTTATGTCAGAAAACGGAAAAATCACAAAATTTGTGAAAGCTTCTTTATTCTTGATTTTTTATATTTCAATGAAATTGAGCAACAGCTTTTTATGATTGATGGCGGTTCCCTATTTATTTTGAAGACTAAAAGAATAAAATGTCATGGTCGAAAATTAGCTTAAAACTGAAAGGTTTATTGTTTATTTAACATTTTGCATTTTCAGTTCGTCCACCCTAATCTGTTTTCATTGCATTCATGAAATATTAAAGCATGAGTAACCTTGTTCTTTTTTGTAGGAATATTCAGAGAGTTGTCAAATGAGGAACGTGCTGTTTTATATTTTCTACTCTGCAGCAGTAAGAATATCTTTATCCTGGAAAACACAGAAACATTAACAAAACAATTATCAGAAATGATTGGAACACTGGACGTATCAAAGAATATAAGTGAAAGTATTCAAAGATTGCAATCGAAAGGACTCGTATCCATTGAGAACGAAAAGGTGACATTTGCTTCAGATGGCGTCCAAGACGAGACAATGTTTGATTACGTGCATACATGTTGTAAAAAGAGACCAAACAGCCAAGATGATCTCTTTTTTAAGAAACAATTACTTAATCTGTCGCTAGATAGTTCTGTAAAATATTTTAGATCAAAAAATTACCGGACAGGAAAATTTGTTCGCTGCTTAGGAAGTAGAAATATCAATCGGTGGAGAAGAAAAGAAACATTTACCATATATGGACAGATACTAACGAGAATTAATTCTGAGCTTGGAAGTGATATACTCAGTTATGACATCTTGGATGATAAATCATTGCATTCTATTATTTCAAGCGAATGTAAGTATCCTTCTTTTTCTTTTCATGAAACATTTGAAGATAACGAACAGTATTCAAGG